ACACACACACACACACACACACACACACACACACACACACACACACACACACACACACACACACACAAGTAATTATCACCCTTTAACCCTCAGTAGTGGGTAATAAGTTGTGATTTGGATAGACAAAATCATACCCACCTCAAACTTCTTGTCAGAACTTGGAACTCTGTCATACATCATGATGGAGCCTCGGATGTCACAGATCTTGTCAGTGTCACCGTGGAGGAGCAGGAAAGGCCAGTTGATGGATGGGATCTCCCTCTCGATTCGATCCGCCGCCACCATCAGCTGCATGCCGAACGACACCCGTAACCTGCCGTGGTAGTTCAGCTCGTCAGCGTCGTACGCCTCCACCTGACGAGAGACAGTGAAGAGTTATGGGAAGAGAGGACAGGGACCAAACATACACTGAGGAGAAAATAAAATAAAGACTGTAGCAAATTTCAAAGAAAAGAGGTTTTGGTTTGTTTTGGTTTATGAAACACATTTTCCAAACTTTGGTGGCTGGGTTTTGTGAAATCCTGCTGAAACATTGTTTTGTTATTGGGTCCTGTTCAATGTTGTTGGTATTTATAAATCACTGCAATATTTTGATGGTGCAATTCTTTTCATATGCATTAAATCATTTTGTGTCCGTCCTACTTGAGTTTGGTTATAACAGAGAAAAGATTCATCATGTTCATAAGCAACAGATGTACTTCCAAACAAGAGAATATTAGGAAGAATCTATAATCATCAGTCTCCAAATCACTGGTGCTAACGTAAACTCAAACATCCCACTCATTTAGAGGAATTGACTTGAAAAATCTGAAGTTTTTGTGAAAATGCCATGTCAGCACTGAGTGCTGAAGATCTACTGAAGATTGCTGAAGAAGCTAAAACTGAATCAAAGTCAAAAGAAGCAAAACACTAGCTAATTGCTTAAAGTAGCAAAAGCTAAAATAATAAAAGGCTGGGTAAAAGCTAAAAGTAGCATTGGCAAATTGCTAACTACAAGTAGCAAAGCTAGCTAAAGGCTAACAGTAACAAAAGGCTAAAACGTAGGAAAAGTCTAGGTAAAAGGTAAAAGTATCAGATAAAGACAAATTGGGGCAATTACGCTAAAGCAGATTAAAGAGAACAAAGTTTTATTGTTAGGCATTTGCATTTTTGGTTTACATTTTTGTCTTTATTTTTTATCTTTTTTTGTCAGTAGAGGGTACTGCTGGGACAGAATAGTGCAGAGTAAACTGAAAAAAATATCAGAGTAAGATACAAAATATCAGAGTAAGATACAAAAGAGGCAACAAGACAATGTGCATCCTGTAATAGCATAATGGCACAGTCTGTGAGTTTAACCATTGTGTCCCATTTCTTCACAGCTGCCCACAACACCATACTTGAGAAGGAATTAAAGCGATATTGTGCTTCTTTTGATTTGCAAAAGAAGTAAAATATTTGGAAAAGTAATACATTTCTAAACACAAAAAGTTAGCACAAACATTTCCTGAACGATTTGAATGTTTAATAGCTAAAATAACATGAAGTATGCAGAAGTTGTTAGATTACAAAGAAAAAAGTAAACAACAAGAATGGTGTGAATGGTTATTGACCTTTCACACAATAAGTGTTCAAATTTGTGATTCTTTATCTGATTCCTCAGCAGAACAGGCTTCGAATAATTTACAAGTTCTTTAAGGCGTTTTAGAGTCTAAAATCTATTTGATCTTTTTGAGACATCATAAATATAAAGTTAATCCACACAAAGACAGCAATGGTACTGAGCATCCATCCATCCATCCATCCATCCATCCATCCATCCATCCATCCATCCATCCATCCATCCATCCATCCATCCATCCATCCATCCATCCATCCATCCATCCATCCATTTGGTTCAGTATTGTGGGGATATTGAGCTTATTTATTTCCACTAGTCACTATTATTATATTATAATATTACAGGTCACTCGTCAATCAGTAGCTAATTAGCCTAACATGCACGTTTTTGGACTGTGAGATGAAACTCGGGAGTCAAACCTGTAACCTTTTTGCTGAAAGGTGACACGTGTTCCACCACTCAGCTCTTATTGAGCAGCTTTATATTTGTTTAGTGTGACCCTTTCATAGATGGACCCAAAACTGTCCCCGAAAAAACAGCAACATTTGACTTCCTCTCTTACATTTTCCTTTTGATCAACTGTCATCATTAAAAGGACATTTTCAAATATTGTGTTTTTTAATGACTGTTTCCATAAAAAAGTTGTCTTTTATCAAATGACCCATGGGCTTGATAAAACAAGGTTCTGTTTACTGATGACCTGTAGGTCAAGGTGTTTCAGTTTTATCTGAATTTGCTCGTGTCCTTGTGGCCTTTAGTGGCAGGCTACTTAAAGTGATTAATGGTTAAGTCAAAGGCTGTGTGAGATGATTGATAAGGGTAAAAAAATCTGTTCCTCAAGCTTTTGTTTTTTTAACTTGAAGATGAGAAAATAAAGACTTATTTTGACTTCTGCTCAGAATAAAAACACGCTGCATCAGAAGAGTTCATCTGACTAGTTTGACTTTGAAAAGATCCTTTGTTTCAGTTCAGCCTTATCTGATGTGTTTATCTATTGTTGTACGTGGAAAAAAACAACTTCCCCGAAGTGACTGTAGGAAGCAGAAGTAGCAGGATGTGGAACTGTGTGTACGACCCCACAGAGTGCCATTACAGGTGCGCGGACGTGACTGCGTGTGTGTTGTCGGTGTTCCTCTGGTTAATCTGTAGCATTATACAAGCAGTTTGGGTTTGAGACAAAGTAAATAAACCTCATTTGTAGTTAAACATAATACGATCCTCTGGAGCAGTGTACTATTTCAAAAATCTGTTTTCCCAGGGGTGGTCTTCATCCTGGGATTGTGCTAAAATGCCTCACTTTTTACGCCCACACAGAGACACACATACTTTTCCCTTAATACCTTCTGAGTATTATTTTTTTTATCACATTTGGATCTGATATTTCAGTTAAACACAACAATGCGGCACATAGTCCCAGTCACGTGCCAACCAGCATCTGCCTCTCACCTGCTTCTTGTCCCGCGAGATCCATTTGGATTCAATGGAGCCCAAAGCCAGGCTGGGCAGCATGTGGTTCAGGATCTTCGCCACAAAAACCTGCAAACAGTTAACAACAAAAACACGCTGAGAATTTCTGTTTATTTGACACGTCCTTCAGGAATGTTGAGTATTTTCGTTGCTTGATTGCTCAGATTCTCAGCTGTTAATACAGTATGCAACTGTTTCGGTGCCAAGGTAAAGAGAAAAACACAGATTTGTTCTTGTTAAAAAGAAAAAAAAATCTAGTCTCATCTGTTTCCACAGAGGTTTTTAACAATGAATTTGAAGACATGTGGCCTTGAAACAATGACACACTTGCGGTGTTGATTCAGCTTGACTGAAAAATTACACAAAAGGATTATCGTTTTCATCAACAGCAGGGCGGAGTGACGATAGAGACGTTAGTCCTGGGTTCAGACACATGAGAAAAAAAAGATGGCAACATAGTGCAGTGGTTCTCAAAATTGTAAAAAAAGAGAGAAAATCGAGAGGTACCTTGAACGGTGTGGCTGACTCTGGGTTGAGCTGAACCATCGGAGCTATCAGAACGACTCCTACAAAATCACCAGGTCTCTCACAGGCTGTCAGGATTGAGATGGCACCACCCTAACAGGGGATAAACACAGATAATATTTAAGTCAGCCTAATGGATATATGTGTTGTTGGAGTACTTTCTGATGATGTCACATTTGTTTTGAAAATCTGAGGGATTCAATGACAGGATTAACCTCTCCAGTCTTCAGGCCTCCACAGTTCTGGGTAATCTCATGCAGACATTCAACATAACGTGAAGTGAATAATTCATACTGGATGTATTGTCTCCTTCTAGAACAAAGTACACTTTCAGCTGAGGGAAGGAAGCAGTTGGTTCTTCTTTCATGTGCAACGGACCACAAATTTCAGAATGATACTGTTTGTTTTTCACTTGCAAATGGTTGTCTATATGAGTTTAGGTCACACAGTTATTGTTAAGCATTAAATAAATAGGTCTAGTGTTTTGTAGGGCGGCCCAGTGGCTCAGTTGGTAGAGCTTTTGTCTTTCAGCAAGAAGGATGCCGAACTGAATCCCAGCTGAGGACTTGGGTAGAGTTCGCATGTTCTCTCTGTGCATGCGTGGGTTTTCTGCAGTTACTCTGGTTTCCTCCCAGATCAAAAACCTGGCTGTTAGGCTAATTGGTAACTCCAAATTGTCAGACTGTGAATGATTATTTGTCTCGATGTGGCCCTGAGATGAACTTGTGACCTGTTCAGGGAGTACCCCACCCCTTGCACAGTGACAGCACCACTATGAGGCAGTAATATTTTCTCCTCTTCATGTTTAGAGATGTGACGCTCGCGAACGATCCGATTCTTTTGAACGGCTCCTTACAACGAATGCCGAATCGAGGGCAGTAAAGAGCCATTTGTAGTTTTATTTCTTTTATTCCTCATATAATCTTTAGTTTTTAATACTTAAATCGCTCCCGCTTTGCTTTTTCATAGGAAATAGGATGAGTTGTGGAGTACAGAAGCCTTCACGTAAAACAAATCCATGTGACGGGATGACGTCATTACGTACGGCTATGTGATGATGTATTTCCCTACATGATGACGTAACACGTTCAGAACCAAACGGCTCTATGAAACAAACGGCTCCCCAAGATCCGGATCCCTTCAAAGAGCCATTTATCCCATCTTTGTTCACATTTTTATTAACTTCTGCCTTTGTGATACATTTAGGAAAACTTTATATATTCCAGGATTACTCCAAGTGTCTTATAGAGTGTATCTCATAACAATTTCTTATTCTTAAGATTAACTGATCAGAACTGATAAATACTGTCCAATATATTTACTTGCTTTTATACTGAATATGTTGGCTACATCAACAAGGAATTAAGAAAAAAATTAGCTGAAATTTACAAATTTGCCAATTTTTTAATATATAATCATTAGGGGTGCAAGATTACATCTGTATTGAATCATTGAATACACACCTGCATTGAACAATACAGATTTTTAAAATTTATTTTATCAGCTTGTCTTCTGAAGATGCTCTGTGGATCTGTGTTCGACTTCTCCACCTAGACTGCATTGCCGAGCACAGATCCACAGAAAAACTTGCTGTTTGAGCATCATTTAATTTAAAAACTGCATTTTTAACATTAAACAAATGTTTATAATTAATTTCAATAAATTACAAGTTAAGAAAGACATGGAAATTTCTATTTTTTGCATCGAAAAAATATCGAACTGTGAGACTAAAGTATCCAACCAAAATGTAAATTTTCTGTATCGTTGCACCCCAATAATCATCTAGTGAAATACTTAAAAAAATCTGACAAAACAGAACAGAAATAGTAATGGATTGAAACTTGATATTTGAGTTTTGACAGATGATTCTGGAGAACAAAAGACAAGGAGTGTCTTCTCTTCTGTGACAGAAAGTAGGTGAGAGGTTCTGATGTAAGCAGCAGTGAGGAAAGTTGTAGGAGGTCAAGCCTAATGTAAAACAATCTGTCTTTTGTTTGGCTGGGCGTGAGTTTCCACCCAGCTCCTTTGTTGCTGTTAATCTACACATAAACCGGGGAGAAAATGTAAAGTCTCAGCCCCTGGGGCAAAATGCGTGCGAAGTGCAGTCAGCTCTCTCCACAAGGCCACTCTGACATGTTCCACATGCAAACCCTCTGATGCAGAGCCATGGTCATTAGCAGCTCTGTGTCCACCAGAACTGGAATTGATTCGTTCTGCCTGACTTTGGTCCGACTTCCTCTTCTCTGTGAGCCACACAGACACAGAGATGCCGAGCGGCTGAATCCATCTCCCACTCTCTCTCGCTGGGTTTGGAAACTGATTGGCCTAAACTTTTGTTTATCTGAGCTTTCTTTTGTCAGTTTGTGTGAATATTCATCAGCTTGGGTTTGATTGCAAGCCCACTTTGTGAAAAGAGGCTCCGCAGGAAGACAGAACATTTCCCACCAGAAAATACTTCACTTTCTGAACAAAGCTCACAACCACTTGCATACAAACACACACAGTTTTATTGTTTTTTTTAAAGAAGTTAGTTTCCCTCTTGAGCACATGCTCAACGTGTGAACATCAGAACTATACTGACCAAATTATAACTCAACGGTAAAAGACAAATGTAGTTAGCTGCCAAACTGCCAGACTGGTTTAACATATTTGATTTTATTTAAATGGATGTTTTTCATAGAGTGTGATTTTGACCAGTGGTGTGGATTAACAGAGTGAGATGTGTGTGAACAGTGAAACCAACAGAAGGAGGATTAGGACAGCGAGGCTCTTTCAGGCTCTGGATAGTGTCCACTACGGGCTTTCTGTCTCTGAACTTTGGTTTGAAGGATGAATGAACGTTTTGTACAACTGCCCTCTGACACCGGGTGGAATTAAACTGCCCAAAAATCCTTTATGAGCTCACACACACAGACAATACATGCACTACAGATCTTTTGTACTCACATGGGATGGTCTAAATACAGATAATGTGAAATAGTAATAAGTGACACAAACAGATGTTTGAATGACTTACATTTTGTTCTGACACATCACTAATTGGCTAAAATATTACACATTATGCATCGAACCTTTATGTTTGGTAGGCCTATAATAGCTGACAGCAATTAAACATGACTGCGGTCAGTCAACCGGATTAAAGATGATTGCCACGGCTAATCAACCATAGGAAACACTTTCATGGCTTTAACTTGTCAGTTTTACAGCTAGAATAGAATAGAATAGAATAGAATAGAATAGAATAGAATAGAATAGAATAGAATAGAATAGAATAGAATAGAACTGCTGACTGAAGTTCTTCTGGGCTTCATTAACAGGCATTCCCACACAAGCATCTCAATGAATACAGATAAAAGCACATTAAAAAACACAAACAAGCTACATAAAGAAAAACTAAATATTTAATACAATTTCAGTATCTGTTAAAAAGTAAAATAAGTTCTCATTTTAATGAGTTACAAGTGGGCATTGCAAATGGTATGAATTATTTCTTGCAAATGTTTTTCCGTGCCAGAGGAACTTAATACCTTCTTGCCTGATGGGAACAACTGGAATAAGTGATGGAGGGGGTGAGACGGATCCTCTGTGATCCGGTTCCTGATCGCAGAGCTCATAAACAGTGGTAATCCGGTAATTTTGCTGGCCTAGCTAATTAAATGTGCCGGTTTAGTTTTGTATTTGAGCATGAGGAAGTTGTACCAGGGTAAAATGTTGAAGGCGAGGATAGATTCTATTAACGATTTATAAACCAGAGTTAAAATCTCCTTCCTCACATTGAGAAATTGTATCTTTCTCAGCAGGTTGTGCCTTTTTAGTCTGTGTGTACATTTAAAACCAAATGTGTGCCCACTAAACAATGAGCTGCAATTTTGTGTCTCAGTATATCGAATTCTCCTCAACTCGTACTCTGAGTGCTAACAGATCACAAGAAAACTTTCAATAAATCTTTGGCATGCAAAGTATTGAATAATATGCTGGTTTATTTAAATGATACCTTTTAATAGCCCTATTATTGAAAATCATGTTAAAAACAAGTGCAAACAAGGTTTATTAAAAATATTAAATATATTCTGTTCAAGTATTACAATGAAAATGGCAATTTAGCTCAAAACGATGGAGTGGGCAACACATTAGGAGGCAAATGGAGGACCAAAAAGCTGAGCAAATATGCATAAAACTGTGATAAACCATTACATAAATAGCCAGTGCTCAGGAAGTAGGACAAATGAGCCTTGGCCAGTATCTCTGCCGGAGAGGGAAAAAAAATGAGAAAGAGTGAGAAGGAGGCCAAGCTGCAGCCATTTGTCAGCATTGCCATGAGCTCATGCAGAATAAAACAATAAACATATAAGGTGGATCAATTAGAGGAGCAGTGTTATCTTCTGAGCCATGCTATTAAACAAAAGGACTGAAAGAACTTTAAATAAACCATTTATTATAATGCATGACAAACGCAGCTATTGTTTTAGTTTGATTTAAAGGGAGATCCGCTCATGCAGGTGTTGTGTGAGAGTGGGACATGATGTTCCTCTGCGGTCTCTGCATTGTAGCTGCTCCCCGCTATTGAAACGGCTCATTGTGCTGTGCATCGTCCAGGCCCCTTTGAGGAGAGATTCACGCAAACAGAGGAGCAGAGGAACAGACTAATGGAAACAGGATGCATCGTTACGACACTGGGAAGCTGGGAAGGGAGGCCTGCAAAAACACGCCGTCAAAACATTGTGTTTGGGCTCGGTTTCCTAAACTCAGAGGCTCTCTGAAGAAGAAAGGCGATGAAAAGGACAGTGAAGCCAGAGAAGGTGAAGAATGGCTGAAAGAGCTTCTAAAGCGTGATCGTTCTGTTATTGTGACCTGAACTTGCACACAAATTATTACACCTGTATCGCCACCTGAGGGTCATTAGGATTTGTGTTAGTCTGATTCCACAAACAAATGTTCAGATATATGGGTGCCAAGTGTAAAAATGCATTTTTCATTATTTAGCTCACATTCTGAGTTAGCTCACTCATATTTTGCTCATTTTCACTAGATGTTAAAAATATAATAGTACTATATAAATATGAAATACTAAATTTAATTGTGTAAATCTAAATGTAAAATGTTGAAGTTTAATGTTGAAGCTTGAATTAAAGAATTTCTGAATGGAAAACGGCCTTTCTTGTTGTTGCTGCTCGGCTCTTGTTATGACATCATCATCCTGAGACAATATCAATCGCTAACGCTTTGAAAGCAGCTAAAGCCTCCTTGCAAGACATCAAACTTGCAGTTGTAGCTGTTGTCCAAGCTGCATGTCAAAATTTCCGACCACAGCAACAATCCTTATTGTTTTCAGTGAACAGATTTTGAATTTAGACTTTAAATCCCATCTTTTTAGCAGTGTTAGAAGCATTAGCAGCGGCTAGCAGAGGCTAGCATTGACATTTGTCGCAAGATGACATCCTCCTTTGTTGAATGAGAACCAAAACATCTTCAGCTAATGGAAAGAAATAAAATACACTAACAACTAACTAACTTTACATCCTTGTACCCAAAACCTCTGACAGTTATAAAGAGAATGATAAATTCAAGTGCAGCAATGATCTATGGTCAAAAAGAAAAAAACTGTATAGGTCTTCTGGATGGGTTCTTCTCTAATGAAACGTTTCGTCTCTTCTCCAAGAGACTTCTTCAGTCTGAGAGTTTCAGGCAAAATTCAGGCTTTTAAGCTCTGCCTCCATGTGACTGATACTCACATCACATGGCTATCGTTGACACCTAATTAACACTTATTGTTAACGGGGTGGAGTYATACTGGCAATAGCCGCGCTGTAGGAGGGGGACAACTGAAAACGGAGYCCTCCACCTCTGTTTAATGATGGACGGTCTTTCTTCACAAAAATGGCAATCAGTATCAGTCATGGAGGCAGGGCTTAAAAGCCTGAATTTTGCCTGAAACTCTCAGACTGAAGAAGTCTCTTGGAGYAGAGACGAAACGTTTCATTAGAGAAGAACCCGTCCAGAAGACCTATGCTATTTTTTTCTTTTTGATTTTTTTACCTGGATTACTGAGATGCATCAGGACAATGATCTATGGTCTTTAAAAAGAAAATTAAATCAGACTCCCTAACCAAACAGAATCTTGGTAAAAGCTTTTAAAATCTCAACTGACTGCAATAAATAAGACAGACTTAATGTAGCAAAAAAGACCAAGAAGATGAAGAAACTGATATCTTTAATGAATTTTTTTAAAATGTAAAACTCCAAGTTAGGGTTAGGGTTAAAAACAGTTAATCTGCCATTTTGGACCACCAATACTGCTCACTTCGAAAACATAAAAAGAAATCGCATCATCTCCAAAATTATAAAAATGTACAAGTACAAAATGTGGGCATGCTGTTCAGCTAAAAGAGATAAACTGAGTGAAGTACAACTGACTCAACCTGTAAACACAGAGAGTAATCATCCATTATGTAACGCATCATTATGGTTTTTGTTCTATTTGTTTGCACTTGTTACTGGGTCACAGAGCACAACAACAAGAGGTTGTGTTGTTCGAAACGCTCTAAATCAATCTCCAAAATAGTTCAATCACCGGCCTGAGTCACACTGTTATGTAATTAATTGGTTTCATCATTCACAAGGTCAAACTGGAGGCTATTCAGCTAAATTTCTCACAGTTGATTTTGGCCGAATTTAACTTTTCAAAGTTCAAAGGTGAAAATAAAAAAAGCTTGAATGTCATTGATAATTTTTTTACGCATTAGCTTTAACCTTGTTGCTTAAAAAGAAAACAATTGGACTATTTTTGAGGGGTTTTAAAAATGTTTCAGCGCTCATTCGAAAGGCTTTTCCTGGTTTTTTTTATGCACCCAGTTTTGATGAGTAGTGAAGTAATTCACACCTTGAGATTAGAAGAAGCCTGTGCCTCACTGACACGTCCACGCACACAGAGTCGCCATCGTGTCAGAGGAATCGAAACAGTCTGAGGTTAAGTCAGGTACGTCTGATCGCACCAATTCAAGGTGTGAAATGTCTGGAGCTCAGTCATAACTAAAGGAATCTAGCTGAGCAATGAAGACTAGTCTAGTTGCTGGTTATAAAAACCATCAACAAAAAGCTAGTTTAAAATCCAGATTTAGAAAAAGTTACAAATATTTAAAGCAACCTGCTTGCCCATTACCCCCAAAACTGAGAAAAGGGGTTAAAGTACAAACAATTGCATTAAAAACCTCTAAAATACTGTATTAAATTGAGTTGTATATTCTGAGACAAAGCTAGGACAGCTAGCGAAGCTAACAGATACTATCTGGTGCTTCCTATTGAAAATAATAGCATAGTGCAGATGTTAATAACATAATCCTAGCAGTCCTAGTAACATTATATGTCACAATCTAAAATTATAGGTAAAGTGAGTCTGGAACTTGTCATATGCTGTATTTATTTTCCTTAGTTTTTTAGTGTTTTCTGTTTTCCCCGTGTATCTCTCCCCTGCTGTCATTCCTATAGCCCCGCCCTTGCTCACATGTTTCTTCTTGTGTCTCCCCAGGTGTTTCCCATTGTCTCTTAATTTGTTTGCCTTTATATTCTGTGTCCTGTCTTCTGTGTTGGTCCATTCATTGCGCTGCATCCCTCAGCCTGTGTGGTGTCTTCGTGTTTTCCCCAGAGATTTCTGTAAGTTTGCTGCCACGACACCTCTTCTTTTGTTGCTCAATAAATCTTTTTTGTTACACTTTGAAATTTTGCCTGCGCCCTGGGTCTGCCTGCACACGTCCTCACAGAACTAAGTGGTACTACTGAGGGAGGGTCAGTAAAATGACAGAATGATTCACCTGCAGTTTTCTCTGTTAAAAGGTTTATTGTAACCATCAACATCAGCCCCAGGTCAGATGGGATTTGTGTCACTGGGTAAAAGGTAAACGGCATTTTACAGAGAAAAGCAAACTTAGTTGGCTTCACTGAACTGTTGGCATTCGCCCCTTGTACACAAATATTCAACGTGGAACTCTCACTGAGCCAAACCAAATAACAAAACAAGCCAAAAACAAGCACAAAGTGATTTTTTAAACCGTATAACCCTTGCTGAATGATGGCAGTAAGCCTTGCCTATTTTATTTACAAATTAATTTATTCAGCTCAGTGATTTGGCTTTTTATATTTAACAATACTGAGTTGTTCTCTTATCTCCTGTTAAGGGCAGGACAGAGGAAGTGAAAACTTATATGTAGCCGAACACTAAACTTAAACAGAACCTGAAGCTTTATTCAGTTCACTAAAACGGATCAAGAAGAGTGTCCTACCATGGAGTGTCCCACAATAAAGACAGGAAGGTCGGGGTGGCGGGACTTCATGAGGTCGATGTGCTGCAGAGAATCCCTGATGTAAACTTGAAACTCTTTGACGATCATCCTCTCACCTTCACTCTGACCATGACCCACTGGAAGAAATTAGAAAAGAAGAGTGGGGTGTTAAAATGTAGCTGAAATAGGAAAAATTGGTCATAAAAACAAAATAGTTAGTACTTATGATCTAAGTGGTGTTTTTTCTTATAAAATGATACATAACCATGATAGTTTTCCATTGATGGTATAGTGACATCCTAAAATTATGAAAGAAAAAAATCAAAAGGAAGGTTACGAAACAAACTGGCTACAAATGAAAGATGGTGAAAACTCATATTCATTCAGGCCATGATCAATCCAAGAAAAAAAAGAAAAGAAAAAATGTTAAGAAAACAAAAACAACTGGATTTTTATTCTGAAACTGAAGACGTTTCTCTTCCTATCCAGGAGGCTTCATCAAATGCGTTTAAAATCACTTGGCAGCCATCTTGAATTGAGTTGGCTTCATACACCCATTTATTATTTCCTGATATTTGTATATAAATCCATCCAGTGGTTCATGAGTTATTTTGCAAATAAACAGACAGAGATGACTGAGTAGTTATTGGGTGGAATGCAAAATTTGGTACGGCTTCTAACTTTAGGTCCTTGTCAAAAATACTGAAAAGGTGTAACCAAAAAATAAATAAACGAATGAACGAACGAACAAACAAATAAATTAAACACTTAATCTTTGATCATAATCACGAGTATTCTTAAATAATGTTGACAGACAAATGGTCAGCGTGAGATGAAAGAAATCTCAAGGTTGTTCAGTGTGTAAATGAAAAAGACAAAATACTTTTATTTAGTTGGAAATACACGTGAGAGAAAAATAAATATAAGAAAGATCTCAATTTGATCCAGAGCTGCCCAAGGCAGTGTTTGTGCGTCTATGTGTGTGTATTTGAGTGTGACAGAATAAATGAAAAATTAGTGTCTGCAGGGTCTTGTTCCATTTCAATAAATTTCTTTTAACAGAGCAACGTTTCAAAAGGTGTCACTGAGCAGCTCGTGACGAGACTCTGATATTCACTTTTTAAAAAAATCTCAGTCATTCAGTTCTTCATTGAGATTTCCTCAGCTGAAAATCATCCTCTCTCTGCTGGATTGTTCCCTTATAGAGCAGAACGATGGGCCAACATTCTGTGGTTTACCATATAAGCTGTGCAGTTGCTGCATTTTCTCTCTGTGCATATTTGGGGTTTTCTCAGGCTTCTTCCTTCAGCAACTGTCTGTACTGAACAGAACAAAATGTGTTTCCTTGTAACATGTATGTGTCTTCACATCAGACAGACTGAACTGATACTCTTATTTTTTTTTTCAGTTTCTAACTCATCCATCTCTCAAAACAAACCCATCTTTGGTTGTTTCTGCAGCAAACAGAACTGTGAGAACAGAACTATCCTGGTCTCTGACCTGCTGCCTCTGGATGACAAAACTGCAGCACTAACCACTGAGCTACCACAGCACACAAAACCAAGATTTGTGCTGCTTTGTTGTTGTGTCTGGAGCATTATGTTACCTCAAAACATTGGTGTGGTTTTTATTGTTCCATTTTCACAAAGACAAAATATATTCATTTGAACGATATTCCTCTGCTGTAGACAAAACGTCCACGTTTTGTTGTACGGCATAAACACAATTAGAGGATATTACATTGTTTCCCAGCTTACTGAACCTAACAGTAAACAGATCAGCATGAGAAAATTTGCTGCTTGACATTGCTACACAGCTTTTTGAAAAAGACATCTTCTAATCTTTGACCCATGGATGTGGAAAAAGAGCAACTCCCAAAATTTAAAACGATTTTAGTTTAAAAGCTAAAAAATGAAAGCCTCACTGTATTAGCATTAACATTATGGGGTGCCGTTTGTAAAGTTACACAGTCAAAAATTACCACCAATGTTTTTGCTGTATTTAGCCTTTTATAAGAAAAAAAAGAGCAGATTTATTTTTCAAAGTCAGTTTTTCACCATATGGTTCATACATTTATAAATGTCAGAGTTTATAAACTAAATATTTAACTTACAAATTAAATATTTAGTTAACAAGCAAAATATTTAACTTGTGACTTAAATATTTAGTTTTGAGCTAAATATTTAGCTTGAAACTTAAATATTTAGCTAGCTACCTAAATATTTAACTAAATATTTAAGTTGCAACCTAAACATTTAGTGTAGCTAGCTAAATATTTAAGTTAAATACTTAGGTACCTAGCTAAATATGTAAGTTGCAAGCTAAACATTTAGCTCAAAACTAAATATTTAAGTCACAAGTTAAATATTTAGCTTGTTAACTAAATATTTAATTTGTAAGTTAAATATTTAGTTTATAAACTATGACATTTATAAATGTATGAATCATATGGTGAAAAACTGACTTAGAAAAATAAATCTGGTCTTTTTTTTTCTTATAAAAGGCTAAATACAGCAAAAACATTGGTGGTAATTTTTGACTGTGTAACTTTACAAACGGCACCCCATATAACGTAAGTAAATAGTTTGGAAAAGTATCTACTTGGAAGTTTTGTTGACACACTGTGACTGATCTGATGATACTTAAACCTGTTTTACCAGTTCTCCGCTAAGTTGTGATAACGAAACAAATATGTTTACCTTGACTCCACATCTAGTTCGTCATCTGAGGCGCGGCTGCAGAAAGGGTTAACTAAATGATGTTTGGAACAGCAGGACTGATGGAGCCAGTGCAGAAGCTGTGTGCGAGGACCACTGATAAACACTATGAGGGTGTGAATGTATGCACAGGCCTCCGGTCCTGTGATGTTTGTTGTTCACTCACCGTGATCATGTGAGAAAACCAGCAGGGACAGATCCTTCAGTCTCTGTGCCATCTCATTGTACGGACCACTGTGCTCCCCGGCTCCATGAGCAATAAACACCAGAGCCCTGAGGAGAGGAGAGGGGAAGAAAATGTTTAATTTTTACCGAAGGAGACCTTCAAGTGACCCCATTTCCATTTTTTCCTCCCCGCTCTAATAGACACAAACAACTTAGAAGTTTACAATCTGCACGGGAGGGCTGCTTCCTTGATTTATGGATAAATGCTCCAAACTAGGAATGTTTATGCTTGGAAATTAGAGTTTCAAATTAAAAGACAAAGGCATTGAGAGATTTAATATGAAAGTACATTTTTGTTTACTCGTGCATCATTCTGTGTTTAACCGTGAATGTTTGTGCAAAGGACAGACAGCGACAAACAGGATGATGGAAAACTCACGAGCAACAGCAGAGAAAGGCAAGCTGAAAGTGAAGCAGACTGTGTTCAGAGACAACAGCTATCATCCATCTGTCCATCTGCCTGCCTCTACACACCCCTGCCTTCTCGAATCAAAACAGACACTGGGAACGCCAGCAAAACATTATATAACCCCACAAAAAATGCAGCGAAAACAGGTAAGTTTCCTGCTATAATTTTGAAGCATTTAAAGCAATAAAATGTTGAGACAATTTGAAAATGAGGATTGCATTGTTCTTTTCCAGAAAAAACTGTCTCCAGTGACTACGTTTTCTTTTAAAGCATTTCAAAAAAATTGATCTAAAATGCGCTCCAATACTGGCAGCAAAATGGCAAATCGCTGCAGGAGAGGAGCATGAAATAAACGGAACATTATGAAAAAAAAAAGAAAAAGAAACGATTTTTAATTTGAGGCAACATGTCCAAATAAAGAACCGCTCAGGATTTTTAAGAACTGAGTGACCATTGATAATATCTGAATGCAACTGATGACATTTTTAGATTTAGTTAACAACCACCCACGTCTTTTCACAACATTAAGATATTTGCAGATTTTAATAGGAGGCTCGACTTTTTATGGGTTGTGCAAAAACCATTGTTAAATAAATCTATAATTTAGGAAAATACAAGAAATAGATAAGTAATGTTGCTAAATTGGTGGAAAATTGAATTATATTTCAAAATGTGTTCTGAGAATCAGGGATCATCCTTGCATGTTTTGTTTAATAGTCTCTTTCAGTCAGCCTTTGTAGCCTTTAAATGTTTTTTTTTATTATGTCAGGCATGGGCAACTGAAGGCCCATGGGCCGTATATGACCTGTGGGTGCCTCAGCTCGGCTGGCCTAACTTTTTTTATCTTAAAAAGAAAAATTCTTAGATTCTTTGAATCTAAGGGTGTTTTTACAAATACATTTTTCTTGGAAGGTAGACGATCTGTTCACAGAATTTCAAGGCAAACCTGTTTAGTCTGCTTAGAGACGCTGTCTGCCATGAAGGGTTTTAATATACGTTGCCACTACAGCGCGCTGCACAAAGCTAAATATGAGAAGTTTACTGAAGTCACAAGTACATAAACAACAGCAAAGTTTTACCAGAACCACAACCAGCAGGATATGTTGTACTTCAGCTTGTTTATTTTATTAAGTGTTCATTTTTTGTTTGATTCAAACATTTGTATTCGAGAATAATTGTTATACGTTCATTTGTTAAGTTACTGCACTCTATATTGGTTTAATAAACATACATATGTATATAATGATGGTTTTATTACATTTGGGTAAGTGTGAAGCTCTATGCAGTCCTCTGGTAATGTTAACAAAAAATTGCGGTCTTTTCCATCATTTAAAGGGGCAATATCATGTGTAAAATAAGCTTTTTTGAGTTTTATATCATGTTATAATGTTACACTCTCATAAAAAACATGCCCAAAGCCTTGCTTTGACTCATTCATGCATGTTTGAGAAATCCTGCAGTGTTTTTAGCAAGCCATGCTGAGGAGCAAAACGACAGGTGGGGACCAGAAACGCCTTTTGGGACCAGAAACGTGCCTGGGAAGTGTCTTTAAGCCGAGCTTCCTCATCACAGAGCACACCTCCCCACCCCCCGCCCATGACTCCTGCAGGCTCTCGGCAGTAACAAAGCAAACGAGTGAAAGTGAAAGTGAAACTTAAACTGTCTGCTGCTCTTAACACTATTTCTCACTCAGTGAAGCTATTTTCAGATTCAAAATACCTTTGAGGAAATGTATTTTCAGATGACAACTAAACTGCATCATTGCGCACGCGCAACTCCCGCCCCCACCTCGAAATGGGCGGGTTATAAGCAGAAGGTGGTTTTTAAAGAGATAGAGGCCAATTTCAAGGCGTTTAGAAGAGGAAGTGATGAGAAGATAAATTTATTTTCTATCTAAACATAAAAACAGCATTTTAATAACAACTAAAGGTGACATGGATACTTTATTATGGTATAGTATTTAAATGTTTGCCTGAGAAACACATAATATTGCCCCTTCAAGTTGCCCGTCCCTGCTACATGTGCCTATCAATCAGGGGAGCTGTGGCGAAACGCTGGTGTTCTTTCACTGAGGAGCATCAGTGATGCTGAGAGAGAGAAGCAGGAGCTTCAATAAGCAGCAGCAGACAATTAACCCGATTGCATTCAGCGACCGAGGAAGGAGAGAACAAAGTGAAACGGGGGGAACGTCAGAGACAGTGTGAGGGGTGGGAAGACTAGAACAGAGGTAGCTGTTCATCAGGCTGTATTAGCACATTTCACTCACAGCTCTTCCCCTCCTTTTGAGGGAACCATCGCTCGGGGCTAAGACTTCCTCTGCACTCAGAATGAGTGAATGTGAATGAGGGTCTTTGTGAAAGCCCAAAAATATTCTGCAGCACACAACCAGAGGGGCTGCAGACTATTAGTTTGGGGGGTAATTTAGATTTGTTGTCAAGGCAACTGTACAGTGAACATGCAGCATGCTCCGTTTATAATTTCCCGTCTTTCTTTTTGAGATTCTCCATCCGTCACATCCACAAACGTTCATTTATTTATTTATCGACTGATTTGCAGGAGGAGCACGCTTCTTGCTTCTCTGCGCTTTAGTTCTGCTCATGTTTGAGAAGTCATAAACGAAGAAGAAGGAGGAAAAAGAAAATTAAGATAAAGCAACGTTCACACGTTGTAAAAGATGCAAATACTGTGTTTTGCAAGTCTGGAGTGTTTGAATATCCACCAACTGAAACTCAGCAAACATTGTGACATGATTCAGGCATCATCAGTATGTTGGCTCAGCTGTGTGAAGCCAGCCCACTCTTTCCACTTTACTAAGTCTGGTAAGGCTCGAGAGACACTTGTTTACAGCAAGTCATATTTTGTGCGGGCGATATGCCTTTATACTGACAAATATAAAAACACACCCCCTAATCTGCTCTGGCCTTACAGAAAAAGAAGCTCACTGACAGTTGGACGATGCTAAAAAAGTTGGTTTCAGCTACATTTAAGCACCCAAAATGTCTCCTGTATTTAGGAGGACAAAACGTGCCCTTCCTCATTTTACATTACAATCAATGCATGCCAGCACTAAACTCCAGTGGTGCATTATAGCTTAAAAGTGTGCGCTGACTCACCATTATGCTTTTTGTTTTCCCACGTGCAGTCTAAATATATCTGCATACTTTCTTGTTACTTCAGCCTTTGCTATATTAAACACTTCAGCTCATGGAAGGAATGGGTGCTACGTTTTTGAAAACTTTATAAAAAATATATAAAACTTTATTTACATATATTTTTCCTGTAGGTACGCATTGAAATTTGTTCCAGTTCCTTCAAACACATTGCTCTTTTTTAAAATCTGCACACATTTTTTAAGGGAATAGTGATTTCTCATTAGAGGTTTTTCCTTCTGTCTCTCTGTCATGGGAACTGAAGACCCACTTGTGTCTCACGCAGTTTTATGGAGCTGGAACAACGTGGTCAATAACCGGCCTTGTTAAATCACCCTGAGAGTGAGAGACAGTTTATGCCTCCCACTGCCTTTACAGAAACAACTGAGGGCCTAAACAAAGTCTAGGTCCTAATCCCCTTCATGCAATGTTGGAGGAGGAATGCAAGACCACAGAAAGGATTCACACAATGTTTACAATCTGAGGAGGAGAGTAAACACCAAAGGTATATACAGAATCAGATTATTGTTATTTTTTTTGCAGTATGGATCAAAAACCATACAGTGATGTGTCACTGGATTTGTCCTAATTAAACTAACATGAAAAGAATAAAAATGAAGTTTTCTTGATTCAGTACATTTGTGTTGTATTTAAAACACCTTCAGTCTGAACTCCCCAGTGACGGGAAGATTTGATGCACCTGGAGCAGAATAAAAAGGATGTGACGGAGAAGAACAATGAGACAGACTCTGACACGTGGAATGTGAGCGTGACAAACCAGAATGGAAAAGGATGCTGGAAACGAGGAAGTTCCAATGAAGTGTGTGTCAAAGCATGCTGAGCGGAAAGAAAGAGGAAATTGCAGTGATGGACAGAAATTAAAGGAGACAAGCTGCAACAGGAACGTTTTACAGCAGTGAAGCAGAAAGGCAAACCTGAAACAGGATTTACATTTAAGACGATCCTCGGCACAGCCGAACATTTCACATTGATTTTGTGAGTGAGTCCAACTCACAAATTAATTTAATTTCTGGTAACAAAGTTCAGTTTCTTTTATTTGAGTGTAACAACATCCTATTTGAGATGATAGGTTCTACCGTACATTTTTGAAAAGTATCTCACTCTACAATTTTTTGTTCTATTTCAGTTATTTATATGTCAAAACATTCAGCTCATTCAGGACTTTCTGGCCACGCCTTTTAGTACTTCAGTATTTATACTTTTTGCAATATTTTGCTTTTTCTGCCATTTTTGTTTCATACTGTACATGAATGGAGCTGTCTCCAACATCCTTAAAATCCTTCAAAATAGTTAAACCTTGCCTGCACTTTTTGTTTTGTTTCTCCTTTTTTAAAATTCCTTGTTAATTAGCTTCCTTCAGCTTTTTTTGTGCTAATTTTAGCTTATTTCTGTTTTCAGCTATCTTTCTACTTTTTTCATCATTTCTAATAAAAGTTTTTTGTACTTTGTCAGCTTCTTTCTGAAAGTTT